AAATTACAAAAAAAATACAAATTAATAAAATACACGTACTCTTTTTTATCTTGATGCTGGGACAGTATTCAGATGATAAACTTTGGGTTTTATTGATGGACAAAAACTTAACGTGAAAGCCTAGAGAATGTGGCATGTGCTCAGGTTGATACTGCCCAATAGGCAGAGTTCATTTAGGCTGCTCTCTTGTTTCAGCGCCTCGCAGTGCTCATTGTGTTCAGTACACCCCAGCCCAGTTAACATTGCTAATACTAGTGGAATCTTGCATTTTATTTGGTAACTTGCATTACATGGTGGTAACTTGCGTTACACTTTTTGAAGACATTTTTAAAACTGATGACACTGTTTATTTTGGCAAGTATCTTGCTTACAGAATCAAGTGTGATAAGTTTTAAAAATTATCAAAGCCAACAAATTACCGGTACCTCTCAGAATTTCTTCAGAATAAAAAAAATGGTTTGTTTTGGTAACTCGCGTTATATGACCAAAATGCTTAATTCTTTGTGATGAAATATTTTGGAAGGTGGTGTGGAAATTTCCACTTAGGAGTCCGGAGTACACCCAATTTGCTTTTCTAAATTGAATTAATAGAAGTGCTGGCATTTTTTTCTATTTCAGAAATACAAATTCAATTAAGTATATATTTTAGCAGTTTGGATGACGAAACAAATCTCTTCAGCATTAAAACTGTATTTTGCAAAATATGCAACCGATGGATAGACTTCTTTTTGTTTCTTTAACTTCAACATGGGTAAAACATCATTGTCCACCTCCCCACGGAATTGTCCTTTAATATTGACTGGACCCCTGAGTTACCCGACACTTCCAGTCGCTCTTCACTTAGTGATTTTATAGATTCACTGAATCTGAAACTGGTCAGTGACGTTAACTCATCCAAGCACTTCAAACTCTCCCCAGGCTGGCTCCATAATCTGCAGAATCCCCCTTTTCATATCACTCATATATGTACATGTGGAAACTGAACCAAATCCTGTTTGTAGTGATCACAGCGCAGTTCATGTTACCCGCCTTTGTCGCCTTTCTCCATCTCTTCTGTCAACCATCAGAAAGTTCATTACTTACATGTACATGTACATGTGTGACCCAGCATCAATGGAACAACTCAACTCCTTGATGACATACATGTACTTGTATGCACCTTGGAATCTGTTCCTCGATCCAACTGACATTATGATTACTCAGCCGTGGGAAGGGTTTCTCGATACCACTGATGCAGCCATGAAAGATGTGCTACCCATGAAGCTGGCTAAATCAAGAAAGAAGAACTGTATGTCCCGGGGTTACTTCCGATATAAAGCACTTGAGTGGAAAAAAAAAACGTGTCTCTTCAAAACAGCCAAGAGCTCTGGTCTACTGAGAGATTGACAATCACACAGCATTGTTCACAACCGGTTGAAATAACAAACCCGCAAAGCATATGAATGTAAGACTTACATGTATTGTTTCTTTCTGTGGATAATGAGAAGTAGGAAATGATCTTCCACTCCTCTGATGTTTAGACATGGTGATAAAACCTCCTTTCTATTCACAGAACATACATGTACATCTACCGTACATGTATGTACATGTACATGTAGCTAATGCTATTTGCATGTATTTTCATCTGTGTTTTCAGAACCATGTTTTCTCTCTGACGACCCACCTGCACATGTACATGTACATGTTTAGGTTACTGTGTCTTTTCAATCGGTCGTCTTTCCTCTGCTAGCTTTTCAGCTGGTAGAATGTGCCAGATTATTTCTAGCTTGCCATTGGGGAAGGTGCCTGGGCCTCATGAAATTGGTGTGAGATTGTTGCCTAGCACCACTTTTTCATTTCATGTTCTTAATATTTCTCAGGACAACCAAACCATAGTGGACAAACAGAAAATACAAAGATAGTTACAAATACAGGACCACCGCTGAAGGATTACCAAAAGAAAACCAAGTGGCTCTTGTGGTAGAACTGCATACATACAAAACATACACCAACCGGCGGTACTAGTAAATATAGAGACAAAACCTGTACATGTATTAACAATAATTTAGACAAGATTATTATAAAGAATTACTGTGAACACCCAGTCATGAAGTTGCATTCAGATATGGAGCAGTCACAGGAAAATCAATTTCAGATAAGACAAATGTATCAGTTGAAAAATTGTGATTTGAGATTGTTTAAACAAGAGCTGAGACCTCGGAGGATACCGTCTGTGGTTTCAGGAGGTAGGGCATATCAGATGCAGGGGAATCCAACAAAGAGTGATTGGTGAAAGGCATTTGTACCACTGACTCCCTTTCACCAATTTTATGCAGAATCCTCACCAGTTCCATCTTCTGCGGCGAACTCTTCCCCAAGCATGTGTTTAAGTCAGGTGACTGATGTAAATTAACTAATCGTAGGCCTGTTGCCCTCGATCACATACATTGTCTGTAAAATCATGAAAACAT